TAAGAAATTATTGACTGTTTCTTTATTAACTAACCCAGTTCCATAGTGAGGATATAGGAACAAGAAAACACCTTCTGAAGAACAGAAGGAAAAGGTATGAGAGAAGGAGCAATGCAGAGCTGTTGGACAGAGCTGAACAATTTCTTGGGAACTAAGAGATAAGGATAATGCGCCAGTGCTGGATAGGGCACCCAGTGAGAAAACATGTTACTAGTACAACTAGAATGTCTTTTCACTGGAACCCACAGCAGAAAACAGACTGAGAGACGGTTTAAAACAGATGAAGAAGAGAATCAGAGAGCTAAATTAGATTAGGAAGATAGGGAGAGAGGTGCAACAGACAATGGAGAGAGGTGTGGAGGACATGGAAGGAGGATGCAGGTAGACATGAAGAGAGATGTAGTTGATGGCAGAAACATAGGGCCACTTTTACACAGGAATTAGGACACATGAAGAAAGAATCAATACAATAATTAAGTATTTGAGATGTATCTGAGCCAAAAATCCCTTTACATAAATCAGTGAACTATTTTTTTTTAACTCTTAACAGTGCATTGTTGTAAGTAGATATGTGGTATATATATGTACTTTATTGTGTCATTTAAATTATTGTAACATGAATATTATGTTATTTATATGTTGCAACTTCACAGTATGGTTTCTATTCCTATATCAGTTATGTAGGATTGTATACACCTGTTTATTTAGAATATATATTTCTTGTTTGTTGCTGGTTCTGAAATATATTTCATTGTTTTACATTTGTTTTCAGTTGTTATTTCTATACCCAGCAGTGTGGTGTACTTTGTCAGTGTTTTTCCTTTCTTTCTTCTTCATTTTATACAAGGCACCTTGTACATTCATTGTTGTCTGTCCGTTATAAGAGACACAGTCCCTCTGTCAATCACATCGCAAGGGACATTGTCCCTCTGTCAGTCACATCACAAGGGACACAGACCAACAAGTGATCATCAGATTGGTTATAATGAATTAAGCCAAGTTGTTTGTGTGTATTCGTAAACCCAGTTTTGCTGTTAATGTCTGGTTGTAAAGTTGATGAGCAACGAAATCGTTCACATTCATCTCTTGTGGCCTAACAGGGAAAATGTCCTAACATGAAATATGTCCTAACAGGGAATATGACCTAGGGAATATGACCTAAAGTGGAAAATGTCCTAACAGGGAATATGTCTTAACCTGGAATATATGGTATAACGCTGCCCGTAAACCCCCCCCCCCCCCCCATTTTTCCTGCACTCCTCCCCCTCCCCAGAGACAACCAGTACATGCTGTGGCATCAACTTTGATACCTATATACCTGTAAGGATCTTTGATACTGTGGTCTTGGAATCTGCTTTGGCTGCCAGATTGATTTCATGATCTTAATTACGCTCCAGGTTCGGCTGTGGTAGAATTTATTTCATAGGCTTGATGAAATAAAATAAATAACAAGACTGTGGATTCAACAGAGTTAATATCGGTTCAATAATAGAGACAGAAAATAATGGACATGTCGTGTCAGTCCAAGCAGAAACAAACTAACTACTCACATCAGTTAGGCTGGCAGTTGACCAGGCAGACTAGAAAGTGATGAATCAAAAGTACTCACACTCAGGTTGTGTGAACACGTTTGTCGCATTGTCTCATCAGTGCCTTCTGTTCAAGATCCCCGTTGTGCAGACGTCAGTATGTTACGTAAGGACCTGCGCTAAGATCATATCAGGGCAAATGTTCAACCATCAAGATGTTCCTTACAGTGAGATGCTCACGGAAGAGGTGAAAAAAGTAAGAAAGTAAGGGACATTTTCACAGCCTTCAGTCGTATTGGGCATATAGGGCTAGACCTATATCTTATAAACTAAACGGTACTTAGTGGGTGATGTGGTCAGTACTTTACTTCCCATGACTACGCCTGATACACACTCAAGGCTGGACCGACTTTACTTCCCATGACCACACCTGGTACACACTCAAGGCTGGACCGACTTTACTTCCCATGACCACACCTGGTACACACTCAAGGCTGGACCGACTTTACTTCCCATGACCACACCTGGTACACACTCAAGGCTGGACCGACTTTACTTCCCATGACCACACCTGGTACACACTCAAGGCTGGACCGACTTTACTTCCCATGAACACACCTGGTACACACTCAAGGCTGGACCGACTTTACTTCCCATGACTACGCCTTGTACACACTCAAGGTCATTTCTGAGAATCTAGTTATGCCAGGACCCGAACCCACGACCTTCCGATCCGCAAAGTGTCTAGCCTCTAACCACGGCGACTCGCCACGGAAAGGGGGTGGGGGTGGGGGGGGGGGGTGTAATTTACGACCTAACGCAGAATACTTTTTTTTAAATTCAACGGCGCTATGATCTGTCTTGACAATGCGTGCAAGAACATCTCGACCTCGTTGTAGTCTGACCCTGCATACTTCTTCTTTTTTTGAATGCTTGCTACAAATTCCAGTATCTCATTTTTAGGTATCGGTAGTCGATTAGAGACTTTGCCATACACTCCAGACATTCTTGTCCATTGTGGCTTCTCCGACTCAGAAATGCCTCTTCGAAAGAAAACAAACATCCCCCAACCCCCCCCCCCCCCCCCCCTAAAAAAAACTTCAGTAGAGTTTGTGAGCTGTTTATCACCCACAGGTTGCCGCCGAGGTATATGATGCTCTCTTAGGTATTCAAATACAGAACTATGCAGTCCAGGATGATAATGTTCCAGTGTCATAGAGGGGGGTACAGAAATGGCAGCCCGTGGCTATGGTGAAAGGGACAGACGAGACCCGCTAAGGAGAATCTACACCTCCCAGAAAGTGCGTCAGATTTCATGTCCATTGTTGGCATCACAAGTACTTGCCTGTCCCACGCTCATCCCTCAACCTGTCTGCAACCCATGTCTCCTGTATCCTGTCCCCTTCTGAGTTGTCCATCCCTGTCCAAGGCGATACATGACATTTCTTTCACGTGAATCAACTCCAGCACCTGTATTATTCATGTCGCACATCCACACATCTGTAAATCGTAATGGATGCCGACATCGACATCGTCTACCTGTCTGTAATTCACTATCATATCTTTTGGGATTCTATCATCCCCAAAATGACCTATCCGTCTGAACATTGCAAGACTGAGCATTGATACAACTTTTTTGGATATTGTGCTTTTTCTAAACAAATTTTACGCTCAGTAGTTTGTCATTGCCCCTGACCAGTCAGCTCTCGGTACCACTGTCAAAACCAACGCAAGACAAATCGTCTACAGCTGGGATGGAACCCGGCATTCCGGCATTACGAAGCGCGTTCTCAACGCCCAAGCCACGGACGCCGACATGTGTGTATATACGAAAACCATTTAGATAACATATTAACAAGGCAGCAACAAAAGCCATACTATGAAAACTAAGTGGAACCACAAGGACAGTCAATGGGAAAAATCATCAGTAAAGTATACAAAGCATAAAACTATACTTGGAATATAGGTCAGCTGCACGGTGTTCAGCATCCAGGACCACTTTAAAGGAGTTGCACAAAGTGCACAATCAAGTGCTTAGAGTTATCACAGGAGGAATGCAATCAACCCCCATATTAGACATGGAGAAAGCTGAGAAAACACAGGCACTGAGAGAACGCATAGATCTAAAGTTGATACAAGCTGAAAAGTTCCTCAGTATGCCAGATCACCCCATGAAGAATAAATTTCAGAACCTAGCTTTGGGACGATTTAAAAAAAAAAAAAAAAAAGCAGCTTTATACATCAAGCAAAACGAATATGCTACAGACCTTCCTGAAATTGGTATTCCAGAAACATGGAGAGAAAAATGCAAACTTACCGTGCACATCCAAATAAATATGAAAGAAACATCTGACCAATAAAAAAAAAAAAAAAAAAGATACCGTCCCATTGTGGAGTGATCGGAAATGAAAAAGCTGATCACTTGACAGGGGAAGGTGAGACAAAAAGACCAGCCTGGTGTACCTGTTATATATCACCCCCACCCCCCCCCCCCCCCCCCCCCAATGATAATTAAATCACACAGGAAACCATCAGTTCCAGCACAAGACAAATATTTTATTATGGACAGATCAGAACAAGTCAGTATCCTTTGCCTCAGAACAGGACCCAACCGAATACTTACGTAACCACATGTTTACAAAATTTAAGATAGGCGTATCAGCCATGTGCACCTGTGGAAAGATGCCCCAGACAGAAAACATGTACTCCAGGTTTGCTTCGAATTTGAAAAATTAAGGCAAACATTTGGCCAGAAAGAACAACCGTGGAAGGTAAACTCTATTGACCACTGATCGCAATAAAAACTAGAGTGACGTTTTTATGTATATGTACTAGAAGCGAAAACCTGTCGTTAGGCGGGGGCTAGAGGCAGAAGTGTTCTAGCCCGGAAATTTATACGAGAGACAAAACTGCTGATACATATAAACAACTTATTTCAAGCGAACGAAAAACGAAGAAGAATAAAAATATTTATTTTAGATGAAACAATATTGACTATTGATATCCGCATACGTGATAAATTATACCATATATTTCAAAACTTTGCTCTTATACTCCTCCCACCGCTCCTCCCTTTTCCCCCTTAAAATTGTGCTATCTATTCTAAGGTGTCCAATGCTCTTATGCTGATTCTTCTTCTTCTTTAAACTCTAAGGTTAAAATTTAAACTTGGTGACTTGGGACTCGACCTGGGAATGCTGACATAAACTTGGGACTCGACCTGGGAATGCTGACAATGACTTGGGACTCGATTTGGACGTGAATGGTGATGAAAGGACAATGAAATGAATGAATATGGCACTTGATGATGATAATCAATCAGGGACCTTAATCCTTTTCCGAGTAGAGAGCTCTCCACCGGAAGCAGGGCGGTTTAAAAAGTGAAAGTAGACGATCGGACCATAATCACAAGATAACCGAACCAAACTTCTCACACGGGCCGGACTGGGCAACAGACAACAAACAGAGATCATGAGTGACTCCAGATATCCTCCACCGCTCTCCGCCAAGGACCCTAAGTAAATTGTTCCTGTTAATTTTTTTAAATATAACAGTAACGTAAATATTGAATAGTTTTATAATATATAATTTATCAAGTTATATCTACCTTCTCTAGTCTAGTCACTAGCAGAAGACATGATGAGCCAACCAAGGCATCTTCCACCCTGCCTCGTTCTTACTGTCACACCCCTATATTGGCTTCATATGCCTGGTTACTGAATTAAATTTAGTGTTAAATACTCTGCTTAGTAATGGGCTGGTCCTGCACCACTTGGTGGTGAACTGATGTATGACAAGCTGGTCCTGCACCACTTGGTGGTGAACTGATGTATGACAAGCTGGTCCTGCACCACTTGGTGGTGAACTGATGTATGCCAAGCTGGTTCTGCACCACTTGGTGGTGAACTGATGTATGACAAGCTGGTCCTGCACCACTTGGTGATGAACTGATGTATGCGAAGCTGGTTCTGCGCCACTTGGTGGTGAACTGATGAATGCCAAGCTGGTTCTGCACCAGTTGGTGGTGAACTGATGTATGCCAAGCTGGTTCTGCACCACTTGGTGGTGAACTGATGAATGCCAAGCTGGTTCTGCACCAGTTGGTGGTGAACTGATGTATGCCAAGCTGGTTCTGCACCACTTGGTGGTGAACTGATGAATGCCAAGCTGGTTCTGCACCACTGGGTGGTGAACTGATGTATGCCAAGCTGGTTCTGCACCACTGAGTGGTGAACTGATGTATGCCAAGCTGGTTCTGCACCACTTGGTGGTGAACTGATGTATGCCAAGCTGGTTCTGCACCAGTTGGTGGTGAACTGATGTATGCCAAGCTGGTTCTGCACCAGTTGGTGGTGAACTGATGTATGCCAAGCTGGATGTTGGCAGCCAGTGAACACGGGCACATATAGATTAGATCATTACGTTCTGAGGAGAATGGCACTGCGAGGAGTTTCAAGGGGATTTTGCCGACGCTTGACACTCATGGGAAAGCCGATACGGATATACAGACAGTTACTGGTACCATCAGAATTTTAACTCTTCGCTTGCTGCTGAAGATGGGGACGGAGCACTTATAGGGGTGTCCCGAGTGCTGTGTGGTCAATTCTTAATTCAACATTCAGTTTGGTAAATGCACCATTTTAAACTTATAGATTTAGTTTCTTTTGACTTCTTCAGAATTCCTAGTGCTACTTTTATTTTCAGATTAATTATTATTTGAATATATCTCATCTGTTGCTCCATCTTTGTCTGTATTCCTGCCTAGATCTGTGTATAACCCCACTTCGGCAAGTGGCCACTTACTAAGCAAAGCTCACCTGTGGCCAGTCACCAAGCAAGGCTGGCCTGTGGTCAGTCACCAAGCAAGGCTGGCCTGTTGCCAGTCACCAAGCAAGGCTGACCTGTGGCCAGTCACCAAGCAAGGCTGACCTCTGGTGCAGGCCATTTCACTCTTTAGCAAGCTGACACCTTTATCTGTGGTACTTCTTCATCAATCAAGGCCTACCCCTGACCCATCTCGGGGGCCACTCTTTAGGTATATGATTCTGGCCACATATTCACGGTTGGTCCTCTGGGGTGTCTGACATCTGGGGGGTACCAATTTTAGGTCTATGGCTCTGTTGATCTCTACATCTTTAGATGTATATGGGGTCCCCAACTGGTATCTCGGGGGTACTCTTTAGGTATATGGGTCTGGTATCTGGGGGGTACTCTTTAGGTATATAGGTCTGGTATCTGGGGGGTACTCTTTAGGTATATGGGTCCATTGTATCTGGGGTACTCTTTAGGTATATGGGTCTGGTATCTGGGGGGTACTCTTTAGGTATATGGGTCTGGTATCTGGGGGGTACTCTTTAGGTATATGGGTCTGGTATCTGGGGGGTACTCTTTAGGTATATGGGTCTGGTATCTGGGGGGTACTCTTTAGGTATATGGGTCTGGTATCTGGGGGTACTCTTTAGGTATATGGTCTGGTATCTGGGGGGTACTCTCTAGGTATAAAAAAATGGTATCTGGTTGGGGTAATGCTTTAGGTATATTATCTGGTACCTGGGGGTACTCTTTAGGTATATGGGTCTGGTATCTGGGGGGTACTCTTTAGGTATATGGGTCTAGACGGATATGTCTAGGAAGAAAAAAATCGAAACTGTTGAACTAAAATGCTACAGAAAAATTATCACAATACCTTGAACCAAGATAAACAGCATCCTCTCCTGAAAACTGGAGTGTTTAGGACATGTCAAGCGCCATAGTGGTCTGGAGAGAATGATGATGGATAGTGCATTTTCTGGAAAAGGAGGTAGAGGCCAACCTCCGCAAATGTGGATACAGAAAATGAAGATGCACTGGTTATGAAAGCACATAGAGCTGGAGAATTGGCCAGAGAAAAAAAAAAGACTTTCGAGATGGCGGTGAAGAGATTGACATTCTGTAAAGGACACTGATTGATTGATTGAGCACCAAGTACTCCACACACACACAAACACACGCAAGCATACATGCACGAACACGCGCGCATTGTTGGCTAGAGCTCTAAACTGTACTCTTTACCGTTGTATTTGTTTGATTGTCTTGTCCTCAACAGCTCATTCGCTTTTGATTGTCTTGTCCTCAACAGCTCATTCGCCTACCCAACTATGAAAGACAGAGTGCCAGTGATCCTGTCGAAAGTTGTTGATCACCTCAGCCGGCATAGGGACAAAATTGTGGGCGAGGCTGGCGAAGTGAGTACCTTAACTGAGACAGTACAGAAATATGTGGATTATTTTCATCATGACAGCTAAGCTTATTTTGACTGGATTAAAAATTGGGAGGATTGTTTTGACTGGATGTCAGCATCTTGGAGCAGTTTTTTTAATAAAAAACAATCTTTGATCACCAGTGAGTTGCTGTGACACCATAATTAGCAGTTGGTGATGTTGAGGAGGGTGGAGAGAGGTGGGGTTTGTGAGGTATGCAGTTTGCATGTGTGTTTAGGGAAAGGGGGTCGGGATGGAATTTGTGAGGGGGTGGTTGGGAGGCATAGAGTTTGTGTGAGGTGGGAGGGGGAGGTTGTGAGGTGTGGATTTTGTGTGTGTATGTTGGTGAGGTGTAGAGTTTGTCTGGGGTAGGCGAGGCCGTGATGGGGATGCCATTTGTGTGCATTAGTGGACAGGGACTCGACTGCCTGTATTTATGTCAGGTGGGACATTGACTGGTTTTCTCGATACTAGGACACTGTATGCACCAATATAAACTTACTGTTGCATGTTTATTTTCTCCCCTGAGGCTGGACGAGAGGAATTAAAATCCATCATCGGCAGCCTGTCTCAATTGCGCTACGAGGTGATGACAAACAAAGCGGCAGCACCACTCAGAGATTCTGTGGCAGACACATCTGAATGGAATACAGAGCTTCGGAAGCGACAAGATTCAGGTGATGAGCTGAAATGGTTCGATTCTGCATGGCTGTGGATGGAGTGTTACCTGTACCGCAGAGTTTATGAGGCTTCTCAGATGAGGTAAACAAACAAATTCCATCAGTGTACTACTCTCTTGTCTGTCTACATTTGGTATGTTTATTTATTTACATATTGAACTGTTGTTTCTCTACATTTGATACTGTTGTCATCTACGGTTTTTACTGTTTGTCTTCATTGTCTACTGTTGTTGCTCTGCATTGAGTACTTTAGTCTGTTAACATTGTTGATATCTGTGTTCCATGACCTTTTATGTTTGCATGTTTGTCTACCAGTTTCTAGATTGTAAATAATTGTATCACCATGGGCCCTGTAGCTAGTGGCTGGCATACTTGCCTACAGGTTGGGCAGTCAGGAGTTTCAGTCTCCATTGAATGGATCTTTATACAATGTGTACTGGGAAATGTTCTGGGAACTAAACATGAACAACTTGATAGTGACAGAATGACCCAGCTAATGGCAGTGGGTCTGTCAAACATGGGGCTGACATCATATGCCTGATAAACCCCAAGGTGTGGAACAGAGGAGTTAACTGGCTGGATTTGTAGAGTTTGTTCTATAAGCACCAGGAGTGTTACTACCAGGTATATAACTACCAGGTATATAACTACCAGGTATATAACTACCAGGTATATAACTACCAGGTATGTAACTACCAGGTATATAACTACCAGGAATGTAATTACCACGCATGGCAATCTCAGGATTACGACCAAATTGTTAGGGGCACCAGTTCTCTGATTTGGATGTGTGGGTTCACTTTCTGAGATAAACAAATAGCTTTCTGAGAAATGTCTTTCTGAATCTATTTTATAGTGTTTTAAAACTTCCTGGGCCAAAGTGACTTCACCTTTGGCATTTGGTAATCTAGAACAGTTGCCAGTAAACTCCAAATGTGTATGTGTCTGTTTGATATGATCTGTTCTGTGTATGAGAACTAACATGTCTGTCTGATGTGATGCAGTTTTCTAAGTTTTCTGTCTAGCCACCAAATGATCCTATACTCCTCCTGTGTAGCTCCTGTCTGTAAGTCTGTCTGCTCCAGTTGCTGTTCTGTTAACTCTAAATGTGTCTGTCCCCTTCTATATCCTAGCTTTGGTATTTCTGATATTCCATTTACTACATGGCCTGTATTCTTGTTTACAGTTCAGTCTGTCAGATCTGGTCCATGTCATGTCAACACTGTGTGTCTCTGACACTCTATCTTGTCTGTTGAACAGTTTTGTTGAAAGTCATTAACCTAGTTCCCCCTGGCCCCCAGTCTGCTGGTTGTCATTGCCCCAGGCTAGTCAGTGTGTGCATCCCCTGGTCTGTACCTAATAAACGAATGTGTCTGGTTGTACCTCCCTTGTAATCATCGCAGTGTTACTAAACCCATTCTCTCATTAACAAGCCAGGTCAGTGTGCCCAGGTGCTGGCCACAAGGTCTTGCTGTCTGCTTCAATCAACACATCTTGTCCATGGCAGGTTGTACTACATTCACTCACAACATACTGAAGTCATCTGGTGTTTCCCAAAGGGTGTCTATGTTTGGCTTGTGTCAATGTTCACACTCATGGTTTTGTTATAGCCATTGTCACTGTTGAATCGCTGCTGAGAGCCTCTGAGGCTGAAAGAATTACAGTATAATACAGATGATTCTTTATTATAAACAATCCATTGATTTTATATACATGGCAGCTGTGGGCCTATTCAAGAGGATCAGTTGAGAGTTGATCAACATGACATACCTGTGGTACATATAGTGGGATACTTCTAGACAGGTCTCAGAATACACTCTGAGACAAGGGAGAGTACACTCTGGGACAGGGGAGAGTACACTCTGGGACAGAAGGGGGTACCCTCTGGGACAAGAGAGATTAAACTCTAGGACAGGGGAGAGTACCCTCTGGGACAGGGGAGAGTACACTCTGGGACAGGGGAGAGTACACTCTGCGACAGGAGGGGGTACCCTCTGGGACAAGAGAGATTAAACTCTAGGACAGGGGAGAGTACCCTCTGGGACAGGGGAGAGTATACTCTGGGACAGGGGGAAGTACTCTTGGGCAGATAGAAGAATACTATTCTAACCTCCGCACCACAATATGGATTAAGCTTGCAAGCAGCTGACCAGTAGTCTTTGACTTTGATCACAGGTTCCTTGTCAGTCGGTGGAGCATCACACCGGAGTGACACTAGCTAGTGTCACATGTCACTGCCAAGAAGGAAAAACATTGGCAAATTATCATGTTAAAGCCATGGTGGAACAATGGTTTCTATACTTGCCTAATAAGACTGGCGTGCAGATTTGACTGCCAGCAATGGCAGAATTGTATGACATATTATAACACAACTTGTGAGTGTTCAGAATAGCAGTGATGTTGACTGACATGTATTTCTCTTATGTTGTGCAGCAGTCTTTTGAAGAACCTTGATGTTTTTGCTGATCAGAAACAGACTGCATTTCTCAACTCCTACAAGCCAATCTCTACATTGACTATGTATCTGTTGGAGGCCAGTCATGCACTCACACAAGCTGCTCCAGAAACTGAGCTCTCGCGATACTTCTCAGAGTTTTTACAGGTATTTCTGTTTTCTAATGGAACTGATATGTGATACCAGGGCCCGGAAATTAACACTGAGGCCCTTTCGGGAAGCAGGCAGTAGTAACACTGTACTCTGTCGTGCATGCCATAAGAGAACGAACGAACAAACAAACTTTATTTTCAAAGGGTTACAAATTGGGCACGCAAGCCCGTCTGACATTCGGCCCTTCTAAGCACTCGTTTTTCAGAATACCAATGCCTGTTATCTAAAATGCATGTTATAGATATAGAATAAAAATATACATTATAGAATATAATACATACATCATGTGTACACAATCTTACACACTTACACACATATATATATGCTCTCACATTCTCATACATGCACACTCATATACAGACATACCTAACACATACATACATATATACATCTACATATATACACAAACATAAAAGACACACACATACATATATGGACATATATGCACACACACATGCATGCATGCATACACACACAAACAATCACATGTACAGACACCCACAACCACACATTTACACTCACATGTAAGCATACATACACACATATACATACACACATCAATACCTACACCTACATCTTTATACACATACATGCATACATAGCTAAATACACACACGTACACCCACATACTTATACATCTACAAATGCATACACACATCCACAAATATGCATACATACACACACCCACATACATGCTGACACACATTACATACATACCCACACATGCTTGCATACACACATATACAATCACCCATACAGATACTCACATACATACATACTTGCCTACATTATGTACACACATACCCACAATCACACATACACTCATATACAGTCACACATACTTACAACATATATACATACATACACACACAAACTTAAATATACATTCATATATCCACATGCATGCATACACACACACACCTAGATAATACATACATGTATACACACATATAGATACTTTTATACATACAAGCATACTTGCACACATTCATAAATACACACACATCGACATACATACACAGCTACATATACCGACAAACATCAATATACAAGTATGAATACACATACACCCATAGACTTACACAGATACATTTACATATAAACCTTCTCATACATATACAGACATACATAATACATGCACCTACATACATATATGCACAAATACATACATCCACATGTATACATACCTACATGGACTACATGTACATGCATACACACATCCATACATACACTCAAATACTTAAACATACATACTTTCATACATACACACATCCATACATACACTCACACACTTACACACATACATACTTTTATACTTACCTAAATACACACACATGCATGCATACATACACCTACATCTTTACACACATACATACCTAAATAGACACACATGCATACATACACACATATACAATCAACCATACAGATACCCACATACATACATCACATGCATACATGCATCACATACACTTTCCACATACATAAAAAAAAAAGAAAAAAAAATATATAGACACATACTTACAAACCTAAATATACCTTCACATATCCACATACACAAACCCACAGTCACACACATGCCCAGATAACACATACATACACCCACATGTATACACCCACATACTTACAACATACGTACATACACACATCTACTTACAAACCTAAAAATACATACATATATCCACATCCATACACACACTAACAATCACACACACACCTACATAATACATATAAGTAAGATAATAATGCGCGTAAATTATTATCTACATCTATGAGACAGCGGATGAGGGTGATAGGGCTATCCCTTTGATGCCTTATTTACTGTGTGATCTCTTCACAGTATCTATTTTTTTAATCATTTGATGTCTTCAAGATATCTTTTTTTTTAAATGGTGCAGTCATTCATGTTGTCTATTTTTTAACTGATATTTGTTTTGTGTAATCTTTCAAGATTTGTTTTTGTTTTTTTGTCCTATGTCTTCCAGATGTCTTTGTGGGGCAACAAGTGTGACCTGTCCATCTCTGCAGGCAGTGAGAACAGCCAGGTCAACTGTCCACTTGAGCAGCTGACTAAACTAAAGCCGTTTATTCTCATTGACGACTCACATCAAATCTTTCAGTCTCTCAGCAACACCAAGCTACATGGACAAGCAGGTTGGTTCTGTTGTTACCATGGTAACATAGTGTGTTCCCTGTTATTAGGATAGTGAACACACATGGTGGAACATGTCTTGATGTCTTGGAAGACTGTTGATTCCATTGAACACACATGGTGGAACATGTATTGTAAGATTTTGGGCTCATGTGAACATATCTTTATGTCTTGCAAGACTGTTGACTCAAGTGAAGTGGAACATGTCCTGATGTCTTGCAAGACTGTTGATTCCATTGCACACACAGTGGCTACATGTCTTGCAAGACTGATGACTCCATTGAACACACAGGGCATGTGTCTTGCAAGATTGTTGACTCCATTGAACACACAGTGGCACATGTCTTGCAAGATTGTTGACTCCATTGAACACACACTGGCACATGTCTTGCAAGATTGTTGACTCCATAATACACAGTGGGCACATGTCTTACAAGATTGTTGACTCCATTGAACACACAGTGGGCACATGTCTTACAAGATTGTTGACTCCATTGAACACACAGTGGGCACATGTCTTATAAGATTGTTGACTCTATTGAACACACAGTGGCACATGTCTTATAAGACATAATGACTCCATTGAACACACAGTGGCACATGTCTTATAAGATTGTTGACTCCATTGAACACACACTGGCACATGTCTTACAAGATTGTTGACTCTATAATACACAGTGGGCACATGTCTTACAAGATTGTTGACTCCATTTAACACACAGTGGGCAGGTCTTACAAGATTGTTGACTCCATTGAACACACAGTGGGCACATGTCTTATAAGATTGTTGACTCCATTGAACACACAGTGGCACATGTCTTATAAGATTGTTGACTCCATTGAACACACAGTGGCACATGTCTTATAAGATTGTTGACTCCATTGAACACACAGTGGCACATGTCTTATAAGATTGTTGACTCCATTGAACACACACTGGCACATGTCTTACAAGATCGTTGACTCTATAATACACAGTGGGCACATGTCTTACAAGATTGTTGACTCCATTGAACACTCAGTGGGCACATGTCTTACAAGATTGTTGACTCCATTGAACACACAGTGGATACATGTCTTGCAAGATTGTTGACTCCATTGAACACACAGTGGGCACATGTCTTACAAGATTGTTGACTCCATTGAACACACAGTGGCACACGTCTTACAAGATTGTTGACTCCATTGAACACACAGTGGGCACATGTCTTACAAGATTGTTGACTCCATTGAACACACAGTGGATACATGTCTTGCAAGATTGTTGACTCCATTGAACGCACAGTGGCACATGTCTTACAAGATTGTTGACTCCATTGAACACACTGTGGCACGTGTCTTGCAAGATTGTTGATTCCATTGAACACACGCTGGGCACATGTCATGCAAGATTGTTGACTCCATTGAACACACGGTGGGCACATGTCTTGCAAGATTGTTGACTTCATTGAACACACAGTGGGCACATGTCTTACAAGATTGTTGACTCCATTGAACACACAGTGGGCACATGTCTTACAAGACTGTTGACTCCTATAAACAGTCTGTTGACTCTGACACTGTCAAGCTTGGAGCGCTGATTAAAACTACAGGGACAACAGCTTTAAAGGGAAGAGAAGTTATTTGTTAGTGAAATATTCCTTTTTTTCTGTTAATGTCTGGTCTCAGCAACGTCCAGAACTATATACTCAGTGAAGTGTACTTACTGCCAAGCTCTCTCATGTTACACAGGTCCAGACAAAAAGAAACACAACATCTCAGCCTCTTATAGGTAGTCTGGAAACTGTCAAACTACGGAAAGCCACTTGAACCAACTGCTGTTGAACTCACAGGACTGAGGAAACTGCAAGGATGCTGCTGTCATCTTGTCAGCGGAAAGAAGATGACTCATTTTGTTTATGTCCAAGTCCCAACTGTTCTAACTCTGCAATAATTTGTTTCTCTGTTTCTGTCTACAACTGATAGGTCTAGTGGATATTATTCTAGACAATGCTGGATTTGAACTAGTCACTGACTTATGCTTCGCTGACTTCTTGATAACCTCTGGCCTTGCTTCAAAAGTACGCTTCTATCCAAAGACTTTTCCATGGTTTGTGTCGGACGTGACCCCGGAGGACTTTCACTGGACATTGAAACAACTCGGCAGCATGAACCAGGCTTGGAAGCGGGGACAGGCCGATTGAGTAGTCGCAAAAGATCAGCATGTATCTACAAATGTCCGGATCCTTACAAGTGCTGCAGAGTTTGTGCACTGAGCTGAGATTCCATGTATGATCAGCTGAGGTAGACGGGTATTTCTGGAGATGTCAGTGTGTAGTGAAAGTGTCAATGTGTAGTGAAAGTGTCAATGTGTAGTGAAAATGTCAATGTGAAGTGAAAATGTCAATGTGTAGTGAAAGTGTCAATGTGTAGTGAAAGTGTCAATGTGTAGTGAAAGTGTCAATGTGTAGTGAAAGTGAGTTGTTACAAACAAGGCCCTACTTGACCCTGCCGAACTGGTAGAGAGACAGGTTGATTGGCTCCAAGAAGCATCTTCATCATACCAGTAACTCTCCCTACGTGCCCCAGTCTTTCTGTATGTGTCTGCACGCCTGCGTGTATGAAAGAGTGAATGAGTGGTGGGGAGGCAGGTGGGGTGTCTCTGTCAAATGTAATTTGGCCAGTAGTCAGTGTGGCCGAGTACAGCAGCCAGTGTGGCCGAGTACAGCAGCCAGTGTGGCTGAGATTTGAAATGTGCCCAATGTACAACCAGAACCTCGTTTCACCTTTACCCTGAAGTCTGGGCAACTGTTCTACTCTCCACAGCTGAGAGTGTAAGCTCTATTGATTCATTCTTTGCTCACCAGAATTGCAGGGAGCATATAAACTCCTTGGATTCCTTACCTTATAGAAAAGAGTCTACGGCCGAGATGTTGCATGTTCTTGTTGACAAGTGGCACCATATCTAAAAGGCATTATTGTCTGAATGAAGATCTACTAGTACATTTTATTGTCTGAATGAAGATCTACTAGTACATTTTATTGTCTGAATGAAGATCTACTAGTACATTTTATTGTCTGAATGAAGATCTACTAGTACATTTTATTGTCTGAATGAAGATCTACTAGTACATTTTATTGTCTGAATGAAGATCTACTAGTACATTTTATTGTCTGAATGAAGATCTACTAGTACATTTTATTGTCTGAATGAAGATCTACTAGTACATTTTATTGTCTGAATGAAGATCTACTAGTACATTTTATTGTCTGAATGAAGATCTACTAGTACATTTTATTGTCTGAATGAAGATCTACTAGTACATTTTATTGTCTGAATGAAGATCTACTAGTACATTTTATTGTCTGAATGAAGATCTACTAGTACATTTTATTGTCTGAATGAAGATCTACTAGTACATTTTATTGTCTGAATGAAGATCTACTAGTACATTTTATTGTCTGAATGAAGATCTACTAGTACATTTTATTGTCTGAATGAAGATCTACTAGTACATTTTATTGTCTGAATGAAGATCTACTAGTACATTTTATTGTCTGAATGAAGATCTACTAGTACATTTTATTGTCTGAATGAAGATCTACTAGTACATTTTATTGTCTGAATGAAGATCTACTAGTACATTTTATTGTCTGAATGAAGATCTACTAGTACATTTTATTGTCTGAATGAAGATCTACTAGTACATTTTATTGTCTGAATGAAGATCTACTAGTACATTTTATTGTCTGAATGAAGATCTACTAGTACATTTTATTGTCTGAATGAAGATCTACTAGTACATTTTATTGTCTGAATGAAGATCTACTAGTACATTTTATTGTCTGAATGAAGATCTACTAGTACATTTTATTGTCTGAATGAAGATCTACTAGTACATTTTATTGTCTGAATGAAGATCTACTAGTACATTTTATTGTCTGAATGAAGATCTACTAGTACATTTTATTGTCTGAATGAAGATCTACTAGTACATTTTATTGTCTGAATGAAGATCTACTAGTACATTTTATTGTCTGAATGAAGATCTACTAGTACATGTTATTGTCTGAATGAAGATCTACTAGTACATTTTATTGTCTGAATGAAAGAATATGAGCCAGTAGAAAGTTTGTACACAATATCAGTGGAAGAAAATGGGCAGGTAGAAAGTTTTTACACAATATCAGTGGAAGAAAATGGGCAGGTAGAAAGTTTGTACACAACATCAGTGGAAGAATATGAGCAAGTAGAAAGTTTGTACACAATATCAGTGGAAGAATATGAGCTAGTAGAACATTTGTACACAACATCAGTGTAAGAATATGAGCAAGTAGAAAGTTTGTACACAATATCAGTGGAAGAATATGAGCTAGTAGAACATTTGTACACAACATCAGTGTAAGAATATAAGCCACTTACAAGTAATATGTTCGATGGTATGTGATGGTGATGGAGGCAAGTGAGAAAACAGAAATGTGTCTGAGAGAACAAGTAGCTGCTGCTGATGTGTGTGTCTGTGGGTAAAAGATAATGTAAACTGGTCAGGTGTATGAATAAACACAAGCAACATGTCCTCGACCTCATTTATTTATTACAGTCTGAACTGATTACATTTACCAACTGGCAAGCTCAGAGTCGGCTGTAACATGCCACTATTATGTGGTCTGTCTTGCCAAACCCCCCAGAATAAAGAGTATATTTCAGAAGTGTTTAAGAAGAAGAAGAAGACAACAAGGGACAAGCGAAAGAAATGTTTGTCAGACTTCATAATGCCCTGACCAAGCCTTGATGAAAGCCTGATGCTAGACACCCTGTGTGTCCATACCTGTCTTGAGACTATGCTAGACACTCCATGTGTCCATACCTACCTTGAGACTATGCTAGACACCCCATGTGTCCATACCTGCCTTGAGACTATGCTAGACACCCCATGTGTCCATACCTGCCTTGAGACTATGCTAGACACCCCATGTACCTGCTTGAGACTATGTTGAGACTATGTCTACCTGTCTTGAGACACCCCATGTGTCCATACCTGTCTTGACTATGTTAGACACCCCATGTGTCCATACCTGCCTTGAGACTATGCTAGACACCCCATGTGTCCATACCTGCCTTGAGACTATGCTAGACACCCCATGTGTCCATACCTGCCTTGAGACTATGCTAGACACCCCATGTGTCCATACCTGCCTTGAGACTATGTTAGACACTCCATGTGTCCATACCCCTTGAGACTATGTCACTCCATGTGTCCATACCTGCCTTGAGACTATGCTAGACACCCCATGTGTCCATACCTGCCTTGAGACTATGCTAGACACCCCATGTGTCCATACCTGCCTTGAGACTATGCTAGACACCCCATGTGTCTATACCTGCCTTGAGACTATGCTGTACACCCTGTGTGTCCATACCTGCCTTGAGACTATGCTAGACACCTGTGTGTCCATACCTGCCTTGAGACACTAGACACCCATGTGTCCATACCTGTCTTGAGACTATGCTAGACACCCCATGTGTCCATACCTGCCTTGAGCCTTGAGACTATGCTAGACACCCCATGTGTCCATACCTGCCTTGAGACTATGCTAGACACCCCATGTGTCCATACCTGCCTTGAGACTATGCTAGACAACCCCATGTGTCCATCCACCTGTCTTGAGACTATGCTAGACACCCCATGTGTCCATAACTGCCTTGAGACTATGTTAGACACCCCATGTGTCCATAGCTGCCTTGAGACTATGTTAGACACCCCATGTGTCCATACCTGCCTTGAGACTATGTTAGACACCCCATGTGTCCATACCTGTCTTGAGACTATGCTAGACACCCCATGTGTCCATACCTGCCTTGAGACTATGTTAGACACCCCAAATGTCCATAGCTGCCTTGAGACTATGTTAGACACCCCATGTGTCCATAGCTGCCTTGAGACTATGTTAGACACCCCATGTGTCCATACCTGTCTTGAGACTATGTTAGACACCCCATGTGGCCATAGCTGCCTTGAGACTATGTTAGACACCCCATGTGGCCATACCTGCCTTGAGACTATGTTAGACACCCCATGTGTCCATACCTGCCTTGAGACTATGTTAGACACTCCATGTGTCCATACCTGTCTTGAGACTATGTTAGACACCCCATGTGTCCATACCTGCCTTGAGACTATGTTAGACACCCCATGTGTCCATAGCTGCCTTGAGACTATGTTAGACACCCCATGTGGCCATAGCTGCCTTGAGACTATGTTAGACACTCCATGTGTCCATACCTGCCTTGAGACTATGCTGGACACTCCATGTGACCATAGCTGCCTTGAGACTATTCTAGACACTCCATGTGGCCATACCTGTCTTGAGACTATTCTAGACACTCCATGTGGCCATAGCTGCCTTGAGACTATTCTAGACACTCCATGTGTCCATAGCTGTCTTGAGACTATGTTAGACACCCCATGTGTCCATACCTGCCTTGAGACTATGTTAGACACTCCATGTGTCCATACCTGCCTTGAGACTATGTTAGACACTCCATGTGTCCATACCTACCTTGAGACTATGCTAGACACCCCATGTGTCTATACCTGCCTTGAGACTATGCTAGACACCCCATGTGTCCATACCTGCCTTGAGACTATGCTAGACACTCCATGTGTCCATACCTGCCTTGAGACTATGCTAGACACCCCATGTGTCCATACCTGCCTTGAGACTATGCTGGACATCCTGTGTGTCCATACCTGTCTTGAGACTATGTTAGACACCCCATGTGTCCATACCTGCCTTGAGACTATGCTGTACACCCTGTGTGTCTATACCTGCCTTGAGACTATGCTGTACACCCTGTGTGTCCATACCTGCCTTGAGACTATGCTAGACACTCCATGTGTCCATACCTGTCTTGAGACTATGCTAGACACCCCATGTGTCCATACCTGCCTTGAGACTATGCTAGACACCCCATGTGTCCATACCTGCCTTGAGACTATGCTAGACACCCCATGTGTCCATACCTGCCTTGAGACTATGCTAGAAACCCCATGTGTCCATACCTGTCTTGAGACTATGCTAGACACCCCATGTGTCCATAACTGCCTTGAGACTATGTTAGACACCCCATGTGTCCATAGCTGCCTTGAGACTATGTTAGACACCCCATGTGTCCATACCTGCCTTGAGACTATGTTAGACA